CGGCCCCGCGGCCAGCCCGCCCCGGCCGACACTGCCCCCTCCGCCCAGGTGCTGCCAGCTTCTGCCCAGTTGCCCTTTTCTAAAGCATTCCAGCCCCGATCACTCCTCTGTCGCCCAGCAGAACGCCGAGCATCTCTCCGTGTGTCTGGGCATCACTTACTCACCTGGCCATTGAGAAGTTCTCAGTGTCCTGGCTGTTGACAGTAGCTTTGGCAGTGTTTGGAATCCCCTTCTTCCCTGACAGTATCTGAGGTCAGAATAAAATCGTTGTTATGTTCTGCTTATTAACTCCCACCAGTAGGGCTTTGCTTTTTAGTGTTATTGAGGTTACCATTTTGATATTCTGGGGTGGTGGTTTTAGGTTGCATAAAATAGTACAGGATTGTTTTAATTAAAATCCTGCTACTCTTGCTGCTTAAGTTTGAGGTGTGTTTTCGTAAGTGAATCACTCTCTCCACTTCAAATATCTACTCTTAAGTGAGTTTACTATATTCGTTTTCGTTTGTTTGTATTCAGAAGTGTGGAAGTTGCGCAATCGGGAAACCAGTTAATTCATTCACAATTTATCCCCCCCCCCCTTTTCCTTTTCTGAAACGGGCCTCATTTTGTAGCCCAGGATGCTGTACAGTTGTAGAGCTGACTAGATAGGCCCAGAACTTGCAGGAGTCCTCCTGTCTCAGCTTGCCTAGTGGTGAGGTGAATGGCATTTGCCATCACACCCGGCACACAGACTATTATGGCCGCTGTATGGGAACATGTGCGCGGTTGCCTATAGAGGCAGGAGAGGCTGTCGGATTCCCCAGGAGCTGCTCAAAGTAGATGTGGGATCCGAACTCTGGACCTCCAGTAGAGTAGTAAACACCCTTAACCACTAAGCCATCTGTGTTGGTTTTGCTTTGTTTTTCAAAACAGGGTCTCTCTTTATAGTCCTTGCTGTCCTGGAACTCAACTCTGTAGACCAGGATGACTTCCAACTCACAGAGATCCTCCTGCCTCTGCCTTCCAAGTGCTGATTCTAAAGTTGTGCGTCACCACCACCTGACTGATCTGTTTTTAAACTACAAAAGTATAGTTATACCTTTTACCGAAAGGTAGAGTAAAATGTTCCTTGTTACAGTTTACCAGGCTCAGTTTTTTACCCTGTACCTGGTCACTGTGTTCCATGCTTTAAGTAGTCTTTTAGGAGGGGGAGCTAAGTTGGAGGGCTGTTTTTATAATAAACTACCTCAGCATTAGCAAACAGCAAATTATCTACTAGAGAAAAAAATTTTTTTAAAAGATTTATTTATTATGTATACAGTGTTCTGCCTTCATGAATGCTTGCAGGCCAGAAGAGGGCACAAGATCTCATTGCAATGGTTGTGAGCCACCATGTGGTTGCTGGGAATTGAACTCATGACCTCTGGAAGAACAGCCAATGCTCTTAACCGCTGAGCCATCCCTCCAGCCCTAGAGAAAATTTTTTTAGTGACAAGTCTGTCAGGACTCCTGGGCACACTTTCTTAATTGAGTGTAGATGCTTTGGTGGTATGTGTTGAATTTCTCCAAAAACAGCTATTTGTAGTGGAAATGTTCTGGGGTGCTGGGAGCTTTGCACAGAAAGTCTGTCTGTAAAACAAAGATTTAAGGAAATTATTTTGTCACTTGAGATTTATAATTTTTAACATTTATATTTTGTAATTATATATTATATGTTCTGAACTAAAATCATGTCAATCCTTTGGAGGTTTCCAGAAATTTTGTTTACTAGCACAATTAAAGTAGTGGTTCTTTTTAAATTTTTTTTAAGTTTAAAGAAAATGTGTATTTTAAGTGTATGTGCCTCTTTGAATGTTTATGCACCAGGTGTGTGAAGAGGCAATGAAGGTCAGAAAGAAGAGGGTGCCACACACAGTCCCTGGAGTTACAGGTGGTTGTGAGCAACCATGAGAGTGCTAGGAGCCAAAGGGCCTCTGGGAGAGCAGTAAGTACTGAGCTGTCTCTTCTAGCTCCTCAGAGTAACAGCTCTGACCATCCATTTTAGTGAACTCACTAGAATGATAGACCTCAGTAGTTAATACTAACATCTACCTAAATTAGAAGATGCTAAGTATCTATTGTTTTTGTCATTGTTCTTCTGAAAAAAAAAAAAAAAAAAACCTTAGCAGCCATAGAGTTTTATTTTACATTTTTAAAAAACTAGCTAATATAGCTTAGGCTTTGCTGGGATTTAAGAACCTCTTGCCCCAGTCTCTGGAATTCTGAGACTGCAGACATTCATTACTAAACATAAATTCTCCTTTGTTTATCAAACCGGTTTCAATAACGACTCTAGTGGTGTACTTGTGTTCGTTTTTTAAACTCAGTCTAGTGCAGGTTGGAATGTTGAGGAATAAACCTGTTGAGTTATGATATAGAAAAGATAAATATAGTTTGATAGTGAAATAGAAATGTAAAAGTTGTACAGAAAGGGAGAGACATAGATAAGCAAGAGCTAGAACCCAAGAATAGGCAGGGTCATAATAGAGGGGGAAACTTGAATTGACAAGTTCTTCCATTTTGGGTAGAGGTGGGGTGTGGGAAGATTGTTAGTTTATTTGGGGGCAGATTCTCACGGTGTAGCATTGTTTAGCTTGGCATTTATGTGCAGACCATGCTGGCTTTGAACTCATGGCAATATTTCCACCTCTGTCTTCAAAGGGATGTGACTGTAGGGTGTACCATTATTCCCAGCTCTTGATGTTTCTTAGACAGTTCTGCAGTTCATCTTCAGATTACACTAGGTGTCACTTGTGATAATGGTCAGTAGATGAAGTAGATATTTAATTGAAATTGTGTGGAGTATTTAGTTAGGTAGACTATTGACTCGTGCTTGTAATCCCATCACTCAGAAGGGTGAGGAAGGATTGGATCACTGAGTTTGACACTGACAGAGTGAAACCCCGTCCTTGAGATACCCAGAGGGAAGAGAAGAAGGCAGCAGTGTCTTGTAGGTCACACTTGTGCCATTGCTTCTGCAAAGCTGTCTGCCTAAGTTGAGCATAATTGTGATTGGTCTGTTGTGTGGGTTGGAGAATAAGAAACCTTCCTTGGGACATGATGATGCATGACTTTAATCCCAGGATTTGGGAGGCTGAGAGAGGTGAATCTGCATTTGAGGCTGGCCTGGACTACAGAATGAGTTCTAGGACAGACAGGGCTACACAGAGAAACTGTTCCTCGAAAAACCTTAAATAAATAAGAAATCTCTTGCAACTGTTGCTTTACAAACTGTTTTTGGTGGTAAATTTTGTAAATTATCTGTCTTTTACAGATAATTTATTTTGCAGTTGAGAAAATTTAAGAAAGAGGAGAAAAGTATTTTGCGTGCAGTCATTGTTCCTGCAGATTATAGTAAAGTACATGGCCAAAAATGTCAATGAAAATGTGGCAGGTGCTTTAAAAAGAAAACTAATTTCAAGTAAAAATTGAGTTTGACATTAAACTGTAAGTGACAATTGAGTATTATGGTAGTGTTCTGGCGGTATTTAGTATAAATGTGATACTTTTTTTTTGTATAATTTTCTGTAATTAGTACTTTGGTAACCACTGTCATACTAGAGAAAAATATGTGTGTGTCTGTCAGTCACCACTGCAAAGGCCCAGAAGGTGTGTGGCTTCTGAACCTGGCTGTCTGGACTTGGCGTTTGTTTGACCTTGCATTTCTTCCTTCCTGTTGTCTACTCAAGTCGTCACTCGTGTAGTGCTGTATAGTAACTTCTGTCTGTCAGAGAAGTGAGTGTCGTGACTTTCCCTGAGGACAGCATTGCATGACAGCTCAAGCTAGTTGTTTCTTCCCCCTGCGCCCCGTTTTTGTAGTGCTGGGAATTGACTCGAGGACTTCAAGCATGCTAGATATGTGTTACTGTACTCAGCTCTGATCCCAGTTTTCTGCCCCTCCTCTCCCGCTAGTGTTTTGCGGAAGGGCCTCCACTGGAGGCTGGCCTGGAGCTGCTTTTCCTCCAGTGAACAAGTGATGGGGCTGCTGGTGTGTCCCTCCCACTTGGGTCTTTTGTATTATTGTAGTTTTTCGAGACAGGGTTTCTCTCTGTGGCCCTGTGTCTTTTATTTTTTAAACTTAGCGTTCTTACATGTTAAGAGTCCTTCATCTAATGTTTATTAAGCAACAGGGAGCTCAGTAATTTGTAATATGGCAGAGATTCTGGGCCCTACCTAAACCATTGGTGAATCAAGTATTTCACACATCACTTAATAAGAGAGAGGCCTTGTATGTGGAAGTTACAGGACAGCTTGTGGGGGGAGATGGTGGTTCTCTCCTACCATAGGGGTTTCAGATTGAATTCAGGTTGTCAAACTTGATGGCAAGTGCTTTTATCCAATGATCCATCTTGAAGGCCCAACTAGTTGTTTTTTAGTTGATAGAACCTGTCTGTTATATTTCTTTCTTTTTCCCCTCTTCCTCCTCTTCCTTTAGTGCGGAGGGTCAAACTTTACCATTCAGCTAATTCCCCGCCTCAAGCTTTCTTACACACTTACCACTTAGAAATCAAGTTTATGTGCTTGGCGATGTGGTGCACACCTTTAATTCTAGCATTTGGGAGGCAGAGGCAGAGGCAGGCAGATCTGTGAGTTCAAGGCTGGCCTAGTCTACAGAGCTAGATCCAGGAAAGCCAGGACTAGACAAAGAAATCCTGTCTCACCCCCCCCCCCCAAAAAAAAAAAAAAAAAGAAAAGAAATCAAGTTTATGTTCTTTATAAATGAAGTGAAATATGGATGTGTTACTTGTCAGGATTATTTTCTTGGAAAAGAGGTATATTTTGTGAAATTACCTTATTAGCATCTCTTTAAGAACTTTCTGATTACCTCCCTGTTAGGTCTCAGGAAGCCTGGACAGATGGCTAGCTGGGGTGCCTATTTAACATGTCAAAGCAGACCTGCCCCACCAGGTTCTTCCAGCATCCCTCTATCCCTGCCTGTACAGGGAATGGCTGGCAAACCCTACCCCTACCCTAAACTTCTCCAGCCCAGTAGCCAGGCTGCTCTTCCCCCAGCTGCCCTTCCCTGTATAATCCAGCCATTTTGGTAACCTGGTCCTTTGGTCTAATCTTTATCCTCTTGGTGTTCTGGCACTCTCCTCTCCCTTCCCCAAATTCACACGGCCTTGCTCAGGGACATGTTCTCTCAGACTCCCAGATGTTTCTGCCTGTGGCTATGCTTCCCCTTCATCTATAATAAACATTTTGCTCCACCATACCTAGGAGTAGTCA